AGTGTGGTTTAATACTCCAATCCTTTGCGAGTGTCCTACGGACTGCCTGCGCATGCCCTCAGTCCCGTAAAAACCCAACAACAATAACAGCGGGGAATGGCGTTTGTAACAGAGAAGATATTTGTTTACAATCATTGTTTTTGTTATTTTTAAAAATGTTCAAAACGTTAAGCAAAAGAATTCTTTGTTTCACCCGCCAATAGTTCTCTGGTTGGCATATTAATAACAATAGGAGGCGTCACTGATATCTTTGCAATAGAAGTAGTGGTGGCTATGAAGTGGCAGCTTGTAACTTAGTATTTGGTTTGAAACTGAAAGAGAATTTTGCCGCAGGCAATTAGACGCTCTTCGGACTCGTTACGCATTCTTTTTCCAGGAAAGATTAGCAATGCGTGATGATCCCACAAGAGGCAAGGGTGCGCACCAATTAATTGAACACTACACTCAATTGCTGAATAGAAAAAACAACTGTTTTTGTTCGATGAGCATTAGCAATGTTTTATTGCTTTGTCAGTTGTACAATTCAAAGGATTCAGTTTATAGTCTTACCGAACCGTGAATCAGACGGGGGAATAGGTACCAGTCAACAAACACAGCAGACCGCGGCTCTTTTCCAAGAATATACGTCTGTTTCAAAACGAGTCTAAGTTTGATTTGCTTAAAAATGGACATTTTCGTATGAAAGCTTTTGCACTAAGAGTTGTTTGACCAAAGAGACAAAGGCAACTCGGAAAATGGCCTGTAGACTGTGCCAATAGCTCTGTTTGTCAAAGCTGCTGAGTATGACGTTCGAAAAATGCAACGTTCCCGACGCACACGTGTACATACGTTGCACAATTTGGATAACAAGAATTGGAAACTCAAGAGCTTCAAAGAAGCTGAACTTCCCTGTCTGACTCATCAGATTACTTTATACTTTATCCTTTTTAAAGTAAATATACCGACACCTTATGGAGTTATTGAATAATCTTTTGTATACCATGCCTTAGAAAATACAGCCAATCAGAATACAGCAAAGCTGTTGTATATTCGACGTTAGTACACCCAACCTTCCCATCGTGCGCCGCGCGCATGTCCCATTGGTTTTGTTGGCCCTGTAGTTTTAGACTCGTGTGTATGCCAAGAAAATACAAGTGACTCGCGGCATATTCCATGGTATACCACTCGAAAACGTTGCATAACTAGTATTTAAAAAGGTTCAACTGGTTTGTTAAGTTAGTTCTCCTGCTTTATCATCGCTCGATACTTAAGAGAACGCAGTTGAACTTACAATACTGAGTTAGTTTGTATGAACGGTCTACCCTCACGTGTATCCTGGTTACAGTCTTCTATTTTACTTTGAGGGTCTGTTTATATGGGGAAAAGTTGTCCCTGCTGACTGGGTCTAGCATTGGCCCCTTCCGATTTCCACGCTTTAGCTGGTTACTGACGTCACTAGTGAACGAGTCAAACAAGATATCCAAAGTGTTTAGATGGAAAAACCGTTGGCTCGCCTCCAAGGGTGGCTACGTTTAGTGAGTGATACTCCCCTGAGTAGGAACAACTTTCAGTCTCCATATAAACAAATCAAGTTTAACTTTGTTGACGTTTGACCCCATCCTGTGCTTAAATAAATACTATACAATCTTGAAAACTATTCTTGTACAAAGCGTCCAGATAATTATAAGCAAACATTTCAATCATCCTTTATTTCGTTGGGAAGAGTTGCGCGAAATAAGCCTTACTTGTCAAACGAGTGTTAAGAGCCGACCACGCGAAATAACGTTTGCTTACAATTGTCACATAAAACTGCTATTATCTCAAAGCCACTTGCGCTGGTCCTCTGGGTTCAACTCACTGTGGAAGAGCGAAATCTCCTTTTCCCCTTCCCTTCCCTTCTTCCGTTTGTGGT